GTGTTCAACCAAAACAAGTCACCCAGTTGTCCCTAGTACCCTGGGAGCTTCAATTAGACCACAGCTTCAGTAAACTAGGTAAAACAAGAGAACAAAATAAACTACTCTAAAGGACTTAAATCTTCCAGAAAGACAGCGAATAAAAACATAATCATTCCTACTTGATGAGCAGGGAATTTATATCCAAAACTATACAACTCACCTAAAATGAGAGACAAAATCTGCAGTGAAATCTGCAGGAATTAAATTCCTTTTCAGCATCCATGACCTCTTAAAACCAAGTTTCTTTTTGTTTGCATAACAGGGGTGAGAAGGCAAACTAAGTCAATCTGCTGTAGCTGTGACAAAATACAGCTTTCACTGGGGAAACTCTTGCAGCTGAAAGCCACCCCAACCCATCCACTTCATATCCCTGCCTACGACTTCAATGAAGAAGGAAATGTTAGCATGCAAAGTTCATGCTCTAATTTCCAGGAGCTTCAAGGAATGTTCAGAACCACCATTTCAGCCATGAGAAAAAGAAACAAAACCATTTATGCTTCTCAAGTCTCGTGAACTCACCAATTCCACAGGTACCAGCTTAAAAAAAACAAGCACCAGGACAGGATGAGTAGAAATTAAGATCTCTGGGAATCCACCAGTGCTATGATCCACCATGGGAACACACTAGAACAAATTTAGCTTGGACAAATTTTGATTTCCTATGCAAAGTTAAAGCTTGCTCTAACATTCTGAGAAGCGACCGTGGCTTGAGTTATATTGGAATTCTGACTCAGAATGTGGCAGGAACCCAAATGCTCAAATGTACCCTACAGGTCTTTGTTGGTGGGAGAGGGGACACTAAATTTCAGTGAAGAGGTTCCTTTTCATATAGAGAAGAGCTAGTTTCCAAAAACTAATGGAAAAATAACTGCAAGGTCCTTCAGATCTAAATCTAGTCCCCAGAGCAAAGTTCACAGCAGAAATGTTTTATTCAGCGTTAAGAACTTTTGGAATTCTTTCAAGGAGAAGAAAAAACCCAACAACAACATGGCTGGCATTTTTTTCCCACTGAACAATTCCTTCCTCTTTAAGCAGGGGTACAAGTTTCTGTGAGTTGGCAAGGGCTGATGAGCCCTGCCTGCCTGCAGCAACAGACAGGTACAGCAGCACAACAGGGGGAGCATCAGGCTCCCAAAGCACCAAAAGCCAGGGAGTGTGGAGAGAAACAAACAAAGGGGAGGACACTGGAGTGCTGCTGGAGTCACGTTCATTTGCAGGGACTTACAAGGCAGCCCCTGAACTCTGCTGAGTCTGGTGCAGGTTTAGGTTGGTGTGACACTGGGTTATAACCTCAGCCACTCTGCTCACTTCATGAGTCCCCTGAGGTCTGTAGGATGCATCTCCAGCCTGGTCAGGAGTGTGCAATCCCCACACAGACAGGCGTGCCAGATGGGCCACTGAGCTCAGGCAAGAAAGAGAAACCATAAAACAACCAAGCTGCAGCAGCACAGACATCAGTGTGTGTCCCTGCCCACTAGCAGGGCCTCTCCTTGCTCCTTCAACATCCTCAGAGCCAGCCAAAGTAAATTTAACTTGTGCCCACTCACGAGAGGAGCTGAGTACCATACAAAGCTTGCTTCAGCTGGGTTCCAAACCCCTCTACCCTGCAGCTCCTTTGCTGCTGAGGGAACCTGCTTGTACAATAGAGCAGCTTAGAGATTAGTAACAAGGTGCCCTCCCAGACCCATTATATTCCAGTAGGCCTTTGTGAGAGCTGCAAACCAAACACAGACCTTGCTAGACCTAAGCTACACACAGCTCAACCCAAAACCAGGTTCCAGCCTTGCTCTCACACCTCACAATAGCCACCTGCTATAGCTCTGAAGATGCTTTCCGTGCATGTGCAATCAAACCACTTTTTAACCATGTAGGTCCCCTCACACAGCTGGAATTACAAAGCAGGTGGCACCTCCTGAGAACCAGCCACAATTTTTTCATACACTCTTGCAGCAGGAGCAATCATGTTAATTAACCTAGGTTCCAGGGGAGAACCTAGCACCTTCAGACAACCAAGTTCTTCTCTGGCCTCCATGTTCCTTCTGTTCCAAATGGAAAGCTCCAGTCCTGTTTCACTTCCATGCACGGCTTAGACATGGCTTTGCATAACACAAATGTATTGTTGTAATCACTCTCCATTTTACTTTTCTTCCTCATTTCTCTAGAGACATGCTAGAACATAACAGCTGCATTTTACATGACAAATTTTTCTGCTTAGCTACCATTTCAAACAATGAAAACCCACCTTTTTCAAATTATTATTTATTTTGATTGAAAAGCTGCAGTTCATTTTAAACCAAGAGGAAACCCACCACGAAGGCAACACTGCACTGAAAACCTTACCAGATATATTGGCCTGCATGACTGCAGACAGCTGCAGGCTGCATTTCAGGAGTTACATTCCACCTGCTAGCAAGATCTTAAGCATAGATGTTTTTCTCTAACAAAGCCATCTAAAGATCCTCTGAATAAATAAGAACACTGCTGCCCAGACTCCCAAGCGAGTTCAGAACACCCGAGCAGAGCTTTCTGTTTGTTTGAAAGACAGAAGGATCAGCCCCATTGGATGTAGCTGGACACTGTTCAGTTCAACTCCAAGCTAGTTGTACTTACTGCTGTGGAAGTGTCTAAGGGTGACAGACTAGGCAATGAATTCCTCTGTGCACAGACATGTGCAGCATAACTTTGGTATTAGATTTGCAGTGTGTGTGTTGGTCAAGATGCAGCACATGGGATTATCCCTCACTCCCCAAACCTTGTTTAACTGGGTAAAGTGGTGGAGTAGAAACAACTGCACAGGTGAGGGAGTCATTTGCTTGATGCTCTACTGCTGATGGGTGGTAGAACAAGAAGTTTCTATCCACCCCACTGTTCACTAACCCATGCCACCTCCAGACAGCAGTGCAGATTTCTAATCATTTCTTCCCTCTGTGGTCTAAACCTGATTTAGTGGCTGCCTTTAAAACCAAGTGGACCAGCTTTATTCAGCTTATTACCTTATTGTCACCCCTAGTGCACTCCAGGTTTCACTTGCAGTTTTGAGACACGCACACAGAGAGATGAAAGGGCTGGGATGGGGCTTTGAGCAACCTGGTCTAGTGGGAGGTGTCCCCCTCCATGGCAGTGGGGTTGTAACGAGGTGATCCTTAAGGTCCCTTCCAACCCAAACTATTCTATGATTCCAACTCATTCTCAACAAGAAACTGCCAGACTGAACCTAGAGGATGCTTCCACGCAAAGAAAATGCCTGCTGCTGTTAGCAGGGGGTTTACAAATAAAAATTCTAGGCTCAGAGCAAGTTAGGAAAGGTTTGGACTCGTTGACCACACAGGTGACTCGTGGTGCATGTTTTATGCACAGTTGCTAAAAAGAATAACACTGATCTTTCTAATAGTTTAACTTCCATTAGGTTTTACACCAACAGATCTCAAATCCCCACAGGACACATCAGAATCTTCATTTTGCATAAGACTGGACAGCTTGGTGGAGATGAGAAATTCAGTTTGTGGTAGGAACTGCCCCCACCATGGTCCTAACTCAGAGGCTAATATACTGACTTCTGTCACGCTGCTTCTGCAGCAGCAAGACAAGCTTCAGCAAATTCAGACTTCAGATTGGAAAGGTCCCAAATGCAGATTCATACCAAACATCAACACAGCCAAAAATAAGCTAGAAATTTCACAGAAAAGGTCAAGATGGCATATCTAGGACTTCTGCTCCTAGTCAGGCAACTGCTCCCCACCCCACCCCCAGCCCCCCTGCAACCACACAAACAGCCCAGTTTGCTGTAATTTCCAACTTTGGCCCCAACCACAACTTATGAGTACAAAAAAAAAGGGGGAGGGGGGGAGAAAACTGTGGGATAAAGGGAGTGGAAGAGCCCCACGACATCATCAAAGTTCCAAAATTATTTACATTAACTCTGATGAAAAAATGAAGAAAATAATTGTAGATCTTTATTCAAACCAGCTTGACCACTCTGAATGCCAAAACACATCCACAAGAAGTACAACAACAACCAGTGCTTATTAGAACGTAGATAGAACATGCCAGACACATACAGAGACACAAACTGAATCCACAATCAATCCACTTCAGCACCAGCTCTCCACTGGCCCCTTCTACCAGCTGCTTCAGGGAAAAGAAACTCTTTAAACAGTTACTACAGAATAATCTAGGGGGAGAAGGTTTCTCCCTGACTTTTCCTTATTTACTGTTCTCCTTCTGGAGATCTTGGTCGTGCACATCTTTCTGAGACAGCTCTGTCTATTCCTATTTTTTCTTTTTTGAATCTTCCTGGACTCCAGATCTCAACAGCACTTCGAGGCAGTGAATTCCACAGGCTAGTTTTCTAAACCTTCACAAATAAATTTTTAATGTGACAGTTCATGATTTAAGAAACTGCTGCTCTCCCCTACTTATGTTATTTACCTAGAAACTGGCAAACAGAACCTAGACCTGGAGCTGGAACTAATATACAAAGCTGCTGTACTACATAAAATTGTTCACACTCCTCAATGTTCAGTTCAGTCCTGCCTAATATGTTGCAATTGTGCCTTTACCCCTTCCCTCCTCTCCACGTTCCTACAAAAATCCTGTTACTTCATTAAAGAACATTACTGAAGCTGCCAGGTTGCTCAAAGCTTTACGTGTCTCAGTAATCCAGTTGGATCATATCCCTGGTGAACAGAAACTATTCCAGATGCATACATGGGATATTGGGTCACAACAAAAATAATACACACAGAATTTAATTTACAAAATAAACATCACCAATTCTGTCAAGTGTAAGGACTAAAGCTATACCAGCTCCTGGGCTCGTGTTTTGTAAAGAATCATGAAGCACAGACAGCCCCAAGGGCAGACACTGACAGACAACCACCAAGAAAGTCCCTCAATCACCTCAAAACACAAAATTATTTGGGGTTGCTTTGTGGGGGAAATGAGGATTCCTCTCCTACCTGTCAATGATCACGGGGTCAGATGGAGTCTCATTTCTGTTGCCACAACTTTTCTTCTCACAGCACCGACTGGAGAGGCAAAGAAAACCAAAATTAAAGAATTACTGGGACAGCTGATAGCACAGCAGCCAGCTAGAGGTCTCCTTCAGGACACTATATGACTAGAAGAGTGACCAAAAATATTCTGGCTAGGTTTTCTGGGAAGGAGGAGAACTAGGGGAACTGGGTGCCCAAGTCCTAGCTGGTTCCAGCTGGAGTTTGGCACTTGGCTCCCTGTAATCTTTTTTTTTTTGAAATTCCCAGCCAAAAATGAACAGCAGTATGGTCACACTTCAGACTAAGGTGCTACTTATAAAGGCTTAATAAATGAATCACAGATGTCATAGTGACATTACAGGCATGAGTATCATGGGTTATGTATGGTTAAATGTCCATCAAAAGAAGGTTTTAGAACTGACTATAAGCAACCAAATGATTTGTTTTATTCTGATAACCAATTTGTTCATTATTAAATAACTAGTAACCCCAAAGTTTCATACAGTCACAGAAAACTTCAACACCAATTAAAAAAAAAAAAATCAGAACATACTTAGATCCTGCTAAAGACCTGAAGAGATGTTTTCCAGGTTGGCATTTCCTCTGTAAATCCCTTTGCAACTGTTCCAGTGATGATAAGCCCTTAAGTTTAAGCATGTATTTATACACTTTTTATCCTGTGTGGCCACCAGCATGATTGTAATTGTGTACTTGTATATACACAGATATATCAGATAGTAGAAAAGTCCAACCTACACTCAGGAACTACTTGATGTTCTTCGTTCCCAGAGAATTAAACTTTCTCCAGGAATGAGCAGAACCACTGCATTTCTTTTTCCCATTTTTAATAATAACAATCATTTTTAAAAGCAATGAAAACTAAGAGACAGGTCATTATTTGATTTCCACTGATATATTACTCAGTGACATGGGTGATGTTCTTTACATATACAAAAAGTTTCATAGACTTTAAAAATAGTTTTTGCTCTGAAATTCTCAATTTTAAAAATTGTAGCAACAAGGAAGTCTGTTAGAAGACTTAAGCTGTTTTGATGCTCAGATAGTTTATTCCAGCCAAACCTAACACAGGAGGGTGAGGATGGACACACCCAAAACTTTAACTAGACTGTATGAGAAGTCACACATGCCTCAAAAGTCACCAGATCAGATTCTGCCTGAAGTTACACAAATGCTTTTCCAAATTCTGTTTTCTGCATTCTGCTGAGGTTGTTCAGATTTATATATATGGAATCAAGATATTGTTTAGGGGTTTATATAGTAGTAAAATAGGTGCTGAATGCATTTGCAAAATTCTCCAGTCAATCTGCATCTCAGTTTTCCAACAGGGGAGCAATTCAAAGCAAATTAATTTAAAAATAAATAAATTATTAAATGTAATCCTTAAATTCACTGAAGGCAGTATGAAATATGAAAGAGTAGATTTTTTGTCTTGAAAAGCCTAAAATTATAGATATCTAAAATAAGCATTTAGATGAAACCCCTCTTTTCAGAGATGAAAAATTTCCAATGGATGTATTTTCTCCTTAAGTTACAGCGTGTGCCAGCAACTTCCCATCTGCAAGTTCCAATTGCCCAGCAAGATGAGCTACAACTAGCAGATCTATTTGAATAGCAGCTCTAACTGTTTCAACATTTCTACATTCCCTTTGCCTCAAACCTGCACTTATTCATCGATGCTAGTCCTTTTAAAATAAAAGGATACACTAAATATTTAAAAATCCCTGGGGCAGACCCTCTAGCTGCTGTAAATTGTCATAGCTCCATCGACTTCAGTGGAGCTATGGTAATTCACACAGGCTGAGAATATCCTGCTCCCTCCTTCTCCCAACTTTGTTTTAAGTGCATTTTTAATGCAATTCGATGCCTAATGATTGTTTATAAAGAAATTCATATTTTTTGTACTAAAAGCCAAGATGTTTTCTAAAGGGGAAAAAAGTAACCCCCAAAAAAAAGTCGAAAACCCTCACGGAGATGAGTATGAATTTGGCACACGTTTCTGACACATCCAATACAACAATGCATTGGGAATAACACTGGGACTAAACGCCTTGCTGGTTTACATGCCCCTATAATAAAACAACAAAAGGAACTCAATTTTCAAAATATTTTTGTAGCTTTGGTTTGGTTTCCTTCTTACAGCTAGCTGAACCAGCAGTGACTGCCTCTTTCTGCAATAATACCAGGTGAGGTGTCCTTTAGTCGTGTCACTTATGCAGATGGTTGTTAAAAAATATTTCTGACTGCACTACGCCACAGTAACATTGGGGCAGAATACACCAGCAGTAGCTCCACCACACCTCAGCAGCCCATATACCCTTCCCAGAGAGGTTGCCATTTATTACCACAGTACATGTTTTGGAATTAATTATTTCAGACTGAGGTACAGCGTGGCTGGGTTCTGAAATGAGCCCATCTTGGTTTATTTTAGTTTGCACAGTTATCGCAGTTAGAAACTTTACATTTCTAATACTTAAAAATTTTCTTTGCAAGACTGTGGTTTACAGATAAAGTTCTTCAAATATTTTACAAATATCCATGTTCTTTTCACACTTGAATAACAGATTTTTGTTGTTGGAGTGCTGGATTATTTTGCCTTTGACCATAATACCTTTTAAGCCCAAACATATATGAAAAAATTCTTGATTAGGTAAAACAGTCACTCACTCCCAGTGAAGAACGAGCTCACACGTAAACCAAAGTGTTTTTAAAGACTGAGGATGTTTCAGCCCAGAATTTTAGCAAAAGTACCTCTCAAATCTTTAAATCTCCATTTCCAAATATTTCACCAAGAACTAACATTTCCACTGTTTTTGTTTTTGGGTTTTGTTTTGTTTTGTTTTTTTTTCACAAGTGCTGCCTGTAGCAGAATTGACTTGTTCCAATTTAAGTCAATGGCAACAATCCCAAATGCTGGTGGTCCAGGATCAAGCCTCCAATATTCTCATGTAGCAAATTATTGGTATGACTTCAACAATATTTAATATTTACACTTCTGCTACGACGTTGTGCTAGGAACATATCTTTAGAGATGCTCATTTGCTTAAAACAAGACTATCAAGGCCTAAGACTTCTATATTCTACACATTTTCTTATTATTCTTTCCCTTCTAACTACATCTACAAGAACGGGTTATGTTATGAACAGTCCTGAAAAAAACTACAAACACACCCCGAAAGGAAAACGCTGCCACAGCCAACACCAGCTCCACAAAGTGACCCCTGCGGAAAGCTCCCGTCAAAGACAAAGTTGCATCCTTTCCCTCCTCACACTTGACTAAACCGGTTTTCAAATGCAGCTCTCAACTGCCCCCCCTCACCCCCCAGCCAAAAAAAAAAAAAAAATCTGTCTCTAATTTCAAACTCAAATAAGCTCACAGCATGGTGGCCTTTGTTTTGTTTTCTTCTCCCCAACTCCTCCCTGCAATTGCATAACAAAAGTGTCTAAATTCACACCATCTGGCCGATAAAGACACAGGCCCCAGTGGCCGCCTGGCCCAGCTGATTAGAGCCCCCGTCTAGTCTGAGCCTTGTGGCGAAAGTCACAGCTGTGGGGCTTGCTCGCACTCAATACAGCTCTGTTATTAGCCAGCTGTAGGCCCTGAGACTACTTCTGTTCAAATTATAATACCTTTTAACCCTCTGAGCATTGAGGGCATAGGGGGTTGCTGGCAGCAGCATAACAACTAGTTTCCTCTTAGTCGATAATTGGAAGAAAAAGAAGAGAAAAAAGTTATTCTGGGTGAGGAGAGTGTTTACCTTGATTTCGAGCCATTGGGGGGAAAATTGTGTATTTAAGACAGACCCGCCTAACAGGAACAGTTCCCATTAGGCTGTAATAACCCAAACGAAAAATTTCAGATCTGCAAATAAATAAATAGAGCCTCTCGCTGCAAGCACTAATTATTGAGAGTTTAACTTTCAATTGCTATGACAGATTGGTGCAGCCGTATCAATATTTAGACAACTTTCCTGCTAAGTGTGCATCTGTCACCGCCGGAGCGGGAGACGCGGAGTTTCGGGTGCGCTCGTCTCCACACAGAAGGAATATCTCTGCGTGTGATTACACCCAAAAAACAGACCAAACCAAAACATTGCCTTCAACTAGCAGGGAGAGGGAGAAGAGAAGCAGAGAGACAGGCAGACCCTTCTTTTTAAAAACAGTAGGCATCAATTTGGACAGCAGAGTGGGTACAGTGCATTAAATTTTTATGTACTGTTACTAATGCAAACTAAACTAGGGGCTTTAAAAATTGATGCTGCCACTTAAGCAGCACACAATGAGGAAGGTTTGATTATTGTACTTAAAAGAAATAAAATAAAATGTCAAGTTTAACTAGAGTTGGATCCGTTCCCTTGGCATTATTCAAAGTGATCTGTGTAATGCCTCTCCAGAATACGCAGCATCCTCTTCAGAGATACTTTAGGAAAACACGACATTTAAAATCAAACGTCTTGATTAGGTTACAGAGTGCTTTTGATTTCGTTCACTAATCTGTGTTTTACATGGAAAGGACATCCCTGAGTTGTAATTCTTCCCGGGCTAATCTATCAAGCAGGAGAGTTCAGTATAATCAGAATAATGGTTTACATTTGTAGAACACCACCTTAAATCAAGCACGGAATACGCTCATAGGCATCAGTGGGGGCCAGGTGTATAAAAGCTGAACAGAGCATTTCATGCTATAAAGACATGGAAAGTAAGCAGAGGGAAAAGCCAAATTAATTTTATTTTCAAGAAACGCATCTCAGGATGCTGGTGTTTCTCCAGTATTTTAACTCCTAAAAAAGAACCTCACTTCATGGAGGAAGATGAAGAGTGCAGACTGCTGGTCTGTTATCACAAACCAGGACCCAGCTGTAGAGCAATTCAAAGATTTTTTCTTCTCTAATGTTCACTTAGTTATAGCAAAGACTTTCCACTATATTTAAATGCTTGCTCAAGTTCGAGGTGTGCCAGAAAGTAAGATCTATATCTTTGATCTTTGCACTACGACTCGGTGTCCTCAGAAAGCACAGTCTCTCATGCTGATACGTGCTGTGTTTGTCTACACGTAGGTGAATGCTCATTTTCTTAATTAATGAGAGCAAAGAATAACAGAAGAACACTGGACATGACTTGATTCCTATTATGTTTTAAAAGTTATGGTAGAGTTGACACAATTAAGTACTGAAACTGAGACTTGCCCTGACAAGGTCTGTCCAAATAAGCTGCTCTTACTCCTATAGTAACTTAAAGGCTACTTTAAAAAAAAAAAAAAGGAAAGAAAAAAAAAAAATCAAGTAGCAAACTGCAACATTACCAGAAGCAATGTTCAGCCCAACAGCTTAACCCCCTCCCACTAATACAATAAATCACAAACTGTGTTTAATAAAGGTCAAGATTAGTTTTGCCTTTCATTTTATGAAAGAACATTCTATGCACAATTTAACACATTTTAATATAAGAATATTGACTGTTTGCATTGTTATATGTATTGAGAAAAATTTAATTACAAGAGAACAGAAAAAGTAATAAGTTACCATGGAAGCACGATGTACATACGTAAGGTACATGTAACTTCAGACTTATACAAATGTTATTAAAAACATCCTCCACTCATTTTACCCTCCAATTTATAACTTTACATGCTAAAATCTGTGTCTTTTTTAATTAAAAGATGGAACTCTTCTACATACTGCTTATATGATACGGAAAAGAAGGGGTTATGTTTTGGCTTGAGGAATTTCTTTTTTGGTTGGGGTAGAACTAAGCAAAATAAAAGAACATTAATGATGATAATTTAATTAAGGAAATGTAAATATTTCACCAGAGAAAATGACATGAAAAAAGCCTTTTAGTTTCCAAGTACAAATCTGTAAGTTAAACTGCTCATCCCCAAAAGGCGAAGAACTTTATAAGAAATAAGAATAGGAAAAGTCTCAGTTTAAGCAACACACACAAAGGCCTGGTTTAAACAAAAACAGCACAGCTCGGGCTGTGGACTTGGGGTTGCTACAGCTCTTAGAGAAAAAAAAAATACACAAAAAATCCACCCAAATATCTCTACTGAACCCAAATCAAATATTATCCGCATGTAAAAAGAAGCTTTCCTACACCAAGAACCTCTCTGACTCAACAAGAAAACAAACAGACCCAAAACATCAAACTCTAACTACTGCTTCATCAGAAAGGCCATTTTGGCATCTATGGAAACAAACTTCACAAAAGAGATGTTGCTAATAAAGTCACCTTACCTGCACATGACTTCGTGGGTAAGCAAAACTCGGCACATTTCGGGGTTCTTGTTCTGTCCTTCATAAGTTATGGGCTACAAAAATGAAGGAAAGGAGTAAGCCAGGAGCGTCAGGGGGTTCCTTGTTTGTCATAATGTTTGGATCTGAGCTGAAGGCTTGTGACCGTCGCTCACAGAGAAACACCTTCCCCTGCAGCCTTTATGAGCAAGGAAAGGAACTTTCTACATAAATATTGAAGAAAAGTGGATAAAACTCTACAATCCATGAGGGAGAAAAAAAAAAAAAAGGGACTTAAGAGCATTACTTTCATTACTTTTCAAATGCCTTCAAAAATAAGGTCTGCAAAACAGATGAACAGGAGACAAAAATGAACTGGAGAAGGAAAACCTTGCAGGGCACTGTTAGAAAAAAGGACAGACGAGGCAGGACGGGGTAACACAGCACACAGGAGCTCTGCTCACCTGCTTAGTGACTGAATCAATGAGTCTAACGTACAGATCCTGTTCAGTCCTGACACCTAGAGCGAGAGAGAAGAGGAATAAATAATGCTGTTACCCACATCTTTTCCTAAACATCACAACAAACCTATTTCATTTCATCTAGTGCCTTGTTAAACATCCTCAGAAAGACCCTTTAGTTTCGCTCCTCCAGACTGCCTCCCAAGCCCATCCACACCAGGCAAACTTCAGAGCCCAGCCCTACATTGAAGGGGCACCATGCAAGGGAATTTCTGTGTGTTTTAGGAATTCTGGTGACCGCACCTACAAACCTTGGCTCACTATTCGACCTACAGAGGGTGACTGGGAAGGGGACTCACCACTGCTGTAGAGGAGCTGGAGTTTGTAGTGCGTGCCGTTGTTCGTCTTTTCATTGCCTTGCTCCTAAAAGAGAGAATTTTTTTAAAAAAAATTCTTCCAGAACTTACACTTGGCACATTTAAAATGCAAAGGCTGATAATCATGATGGAAGTGACAACAAAGTTCATTAAAATTCTGAGGGGTGAATCCACTGATTGGGATATATTAACCTTCCGAATGACCCAGGACAAACTACAAAATGCTGCTGACATATTTTCCTGTAGGAGTTCAAGAACTTTTTTTCCTCTCTTATTTGCTATTATTCTCTCAACTTTTTTGATGCAATAAGCTGCGATTAATTTGTACATTTCCAGGCAGTTAATATAAAGCAGATTGATAGTGGGAAAGCTCAGTGGGTTTTGCTTTTAATGTGCTCATTACTTTGTGTTGAGTCATTATTGATATTTATTTCCTGAAGGCTGTTACAGGGGTGTTTCTTGCATGGTTTTTTATTGTAATTTCCTAGAAGATAATTATTTATGAGCGTCCTTCATAATTAAAAAATCTTGTCCATGACTAAAAAAATAACTGTAAAAACAATGCAAAGTGGTCAACACATGGATTTAAAACGCCAAAGCAAATGCTTTTCAAGTCCTGGCATTGACTTTGGAGGCTTCAGAAATGCATATAATCACACTCAACAGAGAATATGACATATTACAGGTCAGATTCCATTTCTGTTAGGGTACGACTAAAACTTGGCAGCTATAGTAAGTATATAAAAAAATAAAAAAGGGGGGGAAAAGGCGCGTTTGTCCCCCAATAAATATTTAATGCTATTTTCAGTGAGTGTTTGAAATTCCCATTGTATTCCTGATACAGCAGAGGTCTGCAAACCTTTTTAACTCCAGCAGGACACAGAGGGCAACAGCTCTACCCAAGCACCTGAACCCTTGCCCGGGAGCCGGCTGTATTTTGTTAGGGGCAACAGGTATTAAAAGTTAGCGGCTCAACGGGGGAGAAGAAAAGATCAAATCTGGAAAGGAAAAGAGGCAGAAGAAAGATAACAAGCCTTACTTTATCATTTTCTACAAAGTCCACAAAAGCTGTCCTCTCTATTTCCACGGGCTGCCCCTGTCTGTCGTAGAGAGCCAGAACAAAGTGAAAGAAATTGGATTTCCTCAAGTTGGAGGGTGGTTGCTTTTCAAAGTGAGCTCTGGACAAAGCTACTCCGCTGTGGAGGAAACACACGGGACGGGGTGTGGGGGAGAGACAAAGACATTACCACGTTGTGCAGCAGCAACAGCAAAACAACAACAGCCGAGGGCGTTCGGAGGGGAGCCGGGAACCTCTCGGCCGCCCTGGCGGGTGGCACACGGGGGTCGGAGCCGTCCCTTGTCCCCCACCCCGGGCCGAGCCCGGCGCTGTCCCCGACGCGGGGATGCTGGAGCGGCTGGGGCCGGACCTGAGACAAGGGGCAGTGCCCACCTTTAGAGCTGTCACTGTCACCTTTGGAGCTGTCACTGCAGCGTTTGGAGCTGTCACTATAACGTTTGGAGCTGTCACTATAACGTCGGAAGCTGTCTGTGTAACGCTCGGGTCGGCTTGGCCCCGCTCTATGTATGTTGTGCTCCAAATAACTGCAGAGCCCGGACGTTAAGAGATCGGTTAATTGCTAAATGCAATCAGTGTTTTACTTCCTCCTCTACCTGTTTTCTTCTTGCCTGTCACACTCATTTCTAGACTGCAGCGCACAGGGTGGGAAGTGGATGTAACAGATCAGAGAGTCTGGAAGAGCGACCTGTACGTCCCAGCAGCGTTCACTTTTCCTGCAGGAGAAGTCCAGCGACCTTAAAATATTTCCTACAAGTGGGCTGTCAACTTGCGGACACCTGGATTTTTAGGGAGAAGATAACTAGTTTCCAGCAGAGTATCTGCATTTCTCAGCGGCAAAGTTTGTCAGTGGTGTCTTTAGTCACTGCCCTATTTGAACCGACGCCTGGGTCTGGGTCTTCAGTTTCTGGTTTAAACCGAAGAAAATTTAGACTCGAGTTAATTCGCTCTTGCCCAAATCTTGTCCCCGACTGCAGAAAATGCAGTGTGACCTTTCCCACACATTTCCCGACTTGGAAAGATCCAAAGTCTTTGAGTATCCACAAGATCTCTGACTGCAGCTACATTTCTTACTGAAACCAGCTGCAGCTGCCTCTCCCTAATGCCCCTTTCTGCCTACTGCCGAGAAAATAGGTGCCCATGAGCACCTCCGTGTCACTGAATAGAGAGATTAACTATCTGCCAGACAAGTCGGGAGTCGGAACAGCTTCGGTTTTCAGTCCCCAAAATAGCTCCACCGCATTGGCAAAAGTATCGGACTCTTTCGGAGAACTACAGATGTTTCCTTGCGTTTTCCATTGCCAAATAGGTACAGCGTGAACTCACCACATCCGCCACAACTGCACCTACTTTGGGGCTTCCTCTCATTCCGCACGTAAGAACTCGCGTTTCGTGGTTTCTTACGGATCCCTGAGAAGCACCCGGCGCTGCCGCTGCCCAGCTCAAGGCGAGTGCATCGCTCCCGGGAGTTAAAGGCTTCTTAGGAACCGTTTCCTTTTACTTTCGGTTTTCCCAGGAATAAAACCTCTTCTCCCCTCCACCCCCCTTTCGTATTTATTAAACCCTCTATCGGCATTCATAAAACTCTGATAACTCCTCCCATGGCTCTCGGAAACCCTTGCTCGGGCCGGGGGTGGGGGCACGGATGTGCTAATTCTATAACGTCCCTGTTTGATCTCAGGTCCCCTCTGCTGCCACGTGCCCCTCACCTTGCCTCTATACTAAATAAAATCCAACTTATTCCTAGGACCAGTTTAGTGCTCCCCGACAGTACTACCTTTTTTTTTTTTTCCCTTTTCTAAGTATCCAGAATAA